TATTCTCAATTAGATTTACGTAACAGCTTTGAAAGGCTTCTAGGTTTAGTTTTGGCAAACCTAGCTACTTTCAAATGAGAAATAAAACGACCAGCTGACAACCACCTCGATATTCTCTCGTTATAATTGAGCTTTTCCCTGACTTCTCAGTGCTTAATATAGAGCAAGTCGATACGCTAGCACCTCGTTTGTCTTGTGCAAGACCCAGAGAGCAATTTTATCGACACAGAAAGAGCTGGATACTGATATCAAGCTGGGTCTAATTTGGAGATTCTTTAACCACAACTGATGGACCAACTTCGACCGCGCAAGACATTGCGCACATCAGCGTTCATTTCAGCTTCAGATTTCAGCTATCTCTGTTTCCGATTTATTTACGGCCATGGCGTTACTTGACCCAAAATCATATTTTTACAATGTGCTAGTCGTCGGAGATGACAAGTTTTCATTCACAGTTCGTTTAGCGTCAGTGTTACCAAAGATATAATTTATGTTAAAATCGCTGCAACATCGTTCGACTCGCGCTCGGCCTTGCCGAGTAACGACTTCGCTGTGGAAAACATTGAGAAACTGTCCGCGTTTGAGAACATCGAGATCTTACACAAGGTAGATGCAACAGATCTTCGGCGAACATTTGGTTCTAGAACATTTGATCGGGTGACCTTTAATTTTCCGCACACGGGCGGCAGATTAAAGTAAACATTGCCAAATGGAGAGATCTGTTAGAACGGTTCTTTGCAAGTGCTGCGCACCACGTGGAACTGTCAAAGGAGATATTTGTGCAAGTCTCTGTCAGGGAAGGGGAGAACACTCTTGCATAATTGAAGGAGAGAGCTTGGAACGACGTGACAGGTTGTTTACCGAGCTGCAAAAGCTGGTTGGTATTTTTTTGGTTGATTTTTTTATGTTAAATTGTTGTTTTCCACCAGCTGCTTTCATTTGCTAGGAGTTATCGAAGCGCTCTAATTTAGAGGTATTGAAATTGATGAGTGGATTGTTTTCTTGTCTGATCCTTCTTACTAAGTGTTGAAGAGGTCATTCCTCAGCAATAAATTTTCGAACTATCTTCATTTTATTTATTGTAAATGGCTGATGACTTCAAATCTGGAAATTTTTCTTGAAGTTTGCGCCAGCTGTCTCCACGATAAATGATCCGCCACGCGAAAGACCTTCAGTGATGGCAGCCTCGCCGAAAAGATTTCCGTAAAACCCCACACTATTCTGATACAAAGCTTTGGTATTAAAGTCAATCTGTTTTCGCCATTGTTTTCTTTACCCAAAACCTGCATTGGATTCGCGATCACTTGCGGGCTAAACCTGTATACTAAATTACCTTACGCAATTTTGTAAATGCATGTGTAAGGTGATCGAAGTCTGTATAACAGACTGAATCTTATAGTCGCTGGGGCTTATCCTGGTTTTTCTATCTCAAATGTAGCAGAAACATAGGTACTCCTGGTTGAGAATGTAGTGGTTTACTGTCGACCGTTCTCCAGGACTTTTTCAGTTTCCTGGACAGTTTTTCCCGTATGAGTGGGATAGGCACTGTGAGGTGCCCTGCTCTATGCAATTACCATCAACCATTGCTACAAGAGCAAATATCTCCAATAAATGCTTTTAGCACTGTCCACACTGTTCACATCACTCTGAAGTTTTGAAGGTGTTTTAGGTTCTGTGTAAGTTTCACTGCTACCATTTTGTGGTTGAAAGGGTGTGCTTGAGATGATGGAGGAGAACAAAGTCAAAACAATGCCACTTGAGACAAAGGAAAGACAGTTCCCTGAAGCTTCAAGATGACACCAGATCTGGTTGCAAATGACACCTCAGAATCTTCCAAAGCCATTTCTGTCACTTCTTCTTTGATTGAATTTTTTTGGGCTCCTCACTCAAACTACTTACATCTTCTGATTCACAACAGTCTTGCAGGGTCTAACAGTCAGGTCATAGGGGGGAAGGTAGTTGTCAAGGTGCATCACAGACAAATTCCCCTACTAGTTTAACCTCAGTAGAGTCAGACAACCCAGCCAAAAAATGGAATACAAACAAGATTTCAAGAAGTCAGGTATGCTGAGGGTGCAAGCATTGGATGTCAGTGCAGATCGAATCGAGAGCAAGATGCACAAGGGAATTGTATTTTTTGTAGGCTGGATAAGCACTATCTGGGACCCACTAACTATCCAGAAGTCTGCAACAATGACCTAATACTTTCTCCTACACAGGCTAAACTGTATCACAAGGATGTGCCACTAATATCTTCTGGTATTGTAGATGTTCGCAAATCTCCGAGTGTTTGCTGTGGTTGGTGAAGGAAATAAGCATGATAACTTGGTTATGGTTATGTAAGATATGTCTGACATAAGACTGCTGTGGTCAAGAGATCAAAGGATCCAAAGACAGTTTTCATACTCGCAGGTAAGCCTTCTTGACCATTTACCAATTTTTGAAACTTTAAACAGTATAGGCTGGGGTGAGAGAGGTTGGATTCAAATATAGTTTTCTTTTATCACAAGTGACAACCACATGTTAGGGATGGTTGAATTCTGTAAGTGATAGTCAAATTGTCATGGGAGTTTCAGAATTCTCACTCTTAAAGCAAGGCCAGGAGCAAAAGCTTTTGGTTTACTGGTCAACATGAAATTATTTGCTTGAGCTGATATATTCATTTTTATCCACCTTTGGTTAAAAACAGTGGCTAAGGGAATCTCCAAAACTGCATATGACACATTTTTTGTCAATAATGGAGTAAGTGTTTATCTGTTTTGTGCAGTCATGGTTGCTGGCACTTTTCCTGAGGAATTTGATAATGTTTGTCTGTGATTCAACAGCCAATTTGGGTATGGAATGCATGTAGAGTAAATGCTCTTCATCTGTTTGGTGTTAGACTAAGTCATGCTCTGGTTACCATTTTGTTTGATTTTTTTTTTGTTCTCTGATGTCAAAGAGCTCTGATTAAAAATGTATGTGAACTGTGTCTAGGTTAACTTGCCAGTCCTGCAATAAGGGTCAGGGTGTGACTTTTGATTGTTTTCTTTTTAATCTCTGGCCTGCCAAGGGATTTAGTGCAGCAGTTATATTTCTTAGGTGTGATCAAAGGACATGACCATAAATCAAGAGCAGTTGACTTTCTTTGTGTGATGCAGATTTCACAATTTTTATCTTACAATAGTAACATGAATGAACTTTATGCTCCCTCTTCTTTCTTTTTAATTGAAAACACTAGATAATGCTTCTTTTTTTTTACTTGAGTAAAAAACAACTTACTGTAGAATTTGAAGATGTGTTATTGATATATTTTAGGTGGAATTGGGTCAGTCATCACTCATGAAAGAGTTTGTCCCATTCAGTCTCTTTCCTCCAACTTATGTTCATGATATAAGTTTCTGGACCACTGAGCAAATGACAGAACAGCAGTTCTTTCAGGATATTTATGAAACCACTCAAAGATTTGTGATATTTGGTTTGTTGAATGCTATCATGATGCAGAACTGGACAAAGTTAGTCACAGTTACCGCCTGGTGTACAGCTCATGTGACAGACCACTGAGTCACATCCAGACAGTGCAAATGCAAACTTTATCGAGAAGAAAGCTCTTGAATTGTAAGTTTCCACTCAAATAAAGACTTAATTGGTTCAAAGGTGCAATGTATGTTGTATCACTGATGTTACATCTTAACAAGCTTGTGACAAATGCAAGATCTTGGTACCT